TACCTTCATACTAGGCACACAAAAAGTGGTTTATGCAAGGTTTGCAACAATGTTCATCTTTTGCATAGCATCATTCATAGTGCTTCTTAACTGATACCCCCCACCCCCACCCCATCCTCCTTATTCAATATTGATTAGGTCATGTCACAAAAGAGATGTTATTCTTTGCTATAGTGCAGGGGTTCCCCAAGCCCTGGTCCGTGGACCAGTACCAGGCCATGGCATGCCAGCAACCGGTCCGCACAAACAAGCAAAGCCCCATCCGTGAGATGCAGGCAGCACACAAAACCACAAAACCAGTTCCGTGGAGAGAAAAACCTCTCTCCACGGAACTGGTGCCTAAAAGGTTGGGGACCTCTGCTATAGTGAGGAAAGCATCCTGTTTCCAAATTTCCATTGCTAAGCAAGTTGTGCCACATTTTATGACCATTTACGTCAGTTAAGTCACAGCAGTTGTTAAGTGAATTATGTGAAGGGAATCTGACTTCCCCCATAGACTTTGCCTATTGGAAGCCATCTATGAAGGTTACAAATGGCGATCGCCTGATCCCAGGACACTGCAACTGTCATAAAAACATGCCCTCTAGGACAGGGCTTTTTAACCAGTGGTACGGGTAACACCTGTGGTACATTGGCACCTGGCAGGTGGTACGCAACCATCCTAGAAAAGTGGTAGCGGGGGAGGGGAATGAGAGCGCCGTCAGGCGGGCAGGCAGGTGTCTTGCTTGGCTGCGCCTTGGGGGGCACTTTTTTCAGTGCCATTGTAACTTTGAACAGTCACTAAGCGAACTGTTGTAAGTCGAGGACTACCTGTACTTTATCACTTTTTTCCTTTTTTTTTTTTGGTCATCAAGTTTTTGACACCTTGCTAGGCGACTGGTGGTACTCGGATGTTGCCATATCCTAAAAGTGGTACAATGGGTGAAAAGGTTGAAAAGCCCTGCTCTATGAGACATGCCAGTTGCCAAGTGCAGGAATTTTGATCACGTGACCACAGAGATGCTGCAACAGTTGTGAATGTGAAAACCAGCCACAAGTCATTTTTTTTTAGTAGCATAACTTTGAATGTTCCCCAAACGAATGGTTGTAAGTTGAGGACTGCCTGTATTTATATACTGTCAGAGGGGCAAAAATTACACAAGCACAGCAAAGATTTCTGAAAACAATTGGTTACATTTAAAATTGTAATTTGATTAAATGCATGAGTAGAGATAATTACATTACATTTAATATTTAGTATCAGACTGCATCAATCCAAGCTTATTATCTTTCTTTGCCCACCCCATCATTGTTTTGCATGGCAATTGCAACATGCCAATCAAGGACCAAATGTGCCCCTCAGACTGGAGGGAATTGTGCAGTTCTCCTGTAATAGCTACTCTGGTTGCAAATTCTAAAAACTAAATGGATCTGAGATTGTTTTTGCTAAAGGAAGGCTGATGTGGAGACCCATAGAAAATGCTATGCGGTTATTCCATATCTGGCACATTACAATAAAGCATTGTACATTCTGGCCTTAAAGTTAAAAGATTTCTTCAAGTCCGACTCCTTGTGTCTTCATGGACATATTCTTGGCGGCCGTACAGAAGTGCTTTGTCATTTCCAGGACATTTCACTGCCCATTCTACTACACCTCACTGGGATGTCTCCCACCCAGGATGCAGGTTGTAGCAAGATCTGAACCAGTGTTAGGTCAAGGAGAAATTGGTATCTCTTGAGGTACTTCAGCTTTAGTCATTTAAATGCAGATTCTGAAGAAGCTTTTGCCTGGTTAATGAACAGCTGTAAAACCTGCAAGTTAGGTTTGTGTGCAGCCCCATCAACCATACATTAACATTATTGTTTAAAAAACATCCAGTGTACTTCCCCAAACATAGGTGCCCTTTCCAGATGTGTGCACTTCAGCTCTCCAAATTCCCCAACTCCATTGCTGAGAATTCTAGGAATTGAAGTGCATGCAGCAGAAAAGGGGGAGTGGTGCTCAACACAATCTGTGAACTCCCTCATCTGGTGAAATTAAAAGTATGTACACCCATACATCCCCTGGTACAAAGCATGTTGTGAATAGATTAAAAAAAAAAAGCAGATGAAACTAGCAGACGTTGTATGCAAAAGGTCCCACAAATTCAATTTCTGGAGGGGAGAACTGCTGCCTACTGGTGGCATCAATGCAGAGCTGACCACATTACCTCGGGGAGGGGGAGCAACTCTTTTGTCCCTCTCGTGGGAAAACAATTCGGCAGCACCAGAGCACACATTCAAAACACACCCTTTGCCTTTCTCCCAAACGCTAAAAATAATTCCTATTTTGGAGAGACGAAAGCCAAAAACAAAATCACCCGACTTAGCAATTGATGGCCCTGCAAAGCTGCAAACTCCGCCCACTTTCCCAAGGATTATTTAGACATTTT